ACAAGGTCAACATCACCGTTCTGGATCTCTGCAGGCATCACAAACACAGAAGAGGACAAGCTGCCTAAAGGACGGCTTTCTACAAGGAAAATGTTCCAATAAATCCCAGCAAAGCAGGACATGCTAATATTTATCCAGAGGGCAGAAAGTCACATTTGTTGTTGCACAGTGAAAACGCGATTGATTTCTGCTGACTTATAAATGTCTAAGTGAAAGACAATGTAACTATTGTGCTCTTGAAAAGCATTTCAGAGTGTCTCTAAGAGTTATTTTTATCACATAGATGAGTTAACTAAGCCACAGGCATTAACACTGAGAATTTAGATTGCCCTTTGCAATTGTTTTTCACTTATGAATGGCAGTGGATAGTTAGATTATAAGGGATGACCAAAATTCAAGTTACGAACTTCCTAACTAATACATAGCTTTTAAGTCATTTTCAAGAGGGCAATGGAGATTTCCCAGGTGGTCACAGTGGTAAAGAATCCGCCTGCCAACGCAGGAGGCGTAGGAGGTGTGGGCATAGGAGGCTCAAGAGACACACGTTCGATCCCTGGGTCAGGAAGATCCCCCAGAGTAGGAAGTGGCAACCTGCTCCAGTATTCTTGCCTGGAAAATTCCATCAACAGTGAAGCCTGGCAGGCTCCAGTCCATGGAGTCACAAAGAGTCAGACATGACTGAGTGTTCACATACATTATGGAAAGAGAGCCAATTTTTATTCTCATAATCCAAACTATTCACAGATTTAGAAATATATTAGCAGAGATGTTACTGTCAATATTCTAACTTGTGAAGTAAAGAGTTCTCCATGGAATATCAGCAATTCTTCTACCAGTGATATATCCCTAAGTGAAAGAGGGAAAGAGAGCCCTACGTTTCACAAAATTGACTTTCTTTACAAAGTTTTCCTTGAAGCTTTTTCTTTTAGGAACTAAGACAAGGCCAGTGAGTATCAGATGATCACATCAAACACATAATATATCCCTTAAAATGGGTCTTCTCTGTGCTATGTCTCAAACCTTATTAAAAGCAAAGAATTTTTAATTAATATTTTAGGCTTTTAGATACATACCCTTAATTCTGGAAATTGCAGCATTGATCTAGTTGCTGTATTATCTGTTACTGGTGTTTTTCTACAAATTAATTATTAGTCTTATTTATTCATCAGCTGGTTTTAGAAACATTTATACTAAGATGAGCTCAGCTAAGGAAAGCACGATCAAGGAAAACATAAGGAAATAGTTTTGGTGAAAATACTTTCAAGAAAACATGCAAGGAATCTTTGTTGGCTAATGTTTTACATCAGTGATAAATGACTTCTCTGGGCCTCTCTAGAAAAACTATCTAAAAATCATTAGCCCTAGTTTGTTGTATTCTTTTTTGCGCACCCTCAGTTTCCTGGAGATGCATTATTGTAGTCTTTCAGTTAATAGTGAGAGGTGGGAGTGGTAATGACCTATTGTCATTTTATTCTCATTGTTGAAAAAAGACCACATAGAGATGGAAGGTGCACACAGGCTGGCCTTTTGCTTGGAAAAAATTCAAACTATTATAGAATAGTGCCCTGTAAGGGTTAAAATCCAGATGCAGTTATCATGTAGAAGCAAACTTAACAGGGAGCTCTGCTGCTCTTCTACAGACAAATTTTTAAAAAATCATATTTGATCATCTTTTTAGCACTCTTCAGATTTCTCTACCATGAAAAACAAATGTTTATAATATTTTGCCACAAAACCCTTAGCAATCTTTTATTTTTCTTTTTCTGGTCATAAAATACAAAGGTGGCTCAGTTGGTAAAGAATACACCTGCACTGCAGGAGATCCAGGCTCCATTCCTGGTTGGGGAAGGAAATGACAACCCACTCCAGTGTTCTTGCCTGGAAAATCCCATGGACAGAGGATCCTGGTGGGTTGTAGTCTGTGCAGTGGCCAAGAGTTGGACACGACTTAGTGATTAAACCACCAACCCAGAATAATAGGATTATAGCACTCTTTAGGCTTCAAATCTTATTCTTTACAGCACTTACCCATATCTAAAAGTACAGAATTTATTTTTGTCTACCTGTTTTTCTCTTTTCCTCAAAAATATAGACTTCAGAGAATCTGGAATTGTCTGTCTCGTTTGCTATGGTTTCCCAGCATGTACATAAAAAAGTGCTGACACACAGTAGATGCTCAATAAATGTTTGTTGAATGATGCATCACTGGAGAAAATAAGCCTGAGTATTTTGTTCCTGCTGATTTTTTTGGTTATCCTTTGGTTTCTCTAAAACATTGCTGTTCTGGTTATCTATTATTTTACAACAAACTACCCCAAACCTAGTACCCTAAAAGAACAATCACTTTATTATGCTCACCTTACTGTTGGGCAGAGGATTTAAGCAAGCCTTGACTAGGTGATTTTTCTGCTCCACATAGTGTTGACTGGGGTCATTTTGTGGAATTCCACCAGCAGCCGGTGCGGTGTGTCGAAGATGGTTTCACTGATGAGCCTGTTACCTGGTGGACGTGATTGTAGGCCCGAACTCAAGTGGCCATCCTCCTGCTTTTCATGGTGGCTCAAAGCTGCAGGAGAGCAAGATGGGAGCTGCTGGTCCTCTAAAAGCTTTATTAGGAAGCTTTATTTGGAACCATCATAGCATCATTTCTACTATATTCTTTGGTCAAATCTGTCACAGGCCAGCCTATGTCTGGGGAGGAGCATCAAACACATATAGCCACTTCAAATCTGGTACATTTCTAAGATAGGATCGCTCCAAGTAAATGTTCCTAAAGAAAACAATCCAACAAATTCAGTATCTTTCTAGTAGTTGGTCTGTTGATTTAAGTCTTGCCTAAGTTCAAGGAAGGCTTCAAAATACTAAAAAAGAAATGCAAAAGTTTAAACTTGTATAATGTAAAAGCTATGTAAATGTTTTAACATACATCTTATTTGTTTGGGCCTCTCTGGTGGCTCGGCTGGTGAAGAATCCGTGAAGAATCCTCCTGCAATGCAGGAGACCTGGGTTTGATCCCCGGGAGAAGGGAACAGCTACCCACTCCAGTAATCTGGCCTGGAGAATTCATAGACTGTATGTCCATGGGATCGCAGAGAGTCAGATATGACTGAGTGACTTTCACTTATTTGCTTATTTACAACACAATAAACACTGTAAATTGGTTTAGGTTCTCTGAAATTACAGGCAAAACCTTTTGTGATGTGTCTGCCATGTACATTTTTATGGGGAGTAGTTTTTTATTGATTTCTCAAAAGATTTGATTTCCTTCCTTCCCAATCAAGTATTTCCCTAAGCAAAACTGTGGAGTAGGTATGTTCATTTTTGGAACTATCTCTCTTCATATTACCCAGCTTTGTGTAATAATGATAATAATAATAATAACTGATTTTTTAAAAATTATCACTTATCCAGGAACAGTTTCATAATAACCTTATGAGGAACACAGAACTATTATCATTGTTTTACAGTTGAGGAAACTGAGGCATAGTAACTTGCCCATGGTCACACAATTAGCACGTGGCAGGGCTAGGAATCCTGGCATATTGGCATCAGAGGCTCTGTTCCTGAGAATAGTTTACTCCTTTGTAAACTGTGGATGATACTAGTAGCCAGTGTCGCTGTAGGTGTCAGATGCGTTAAAGTGGGATAGTCCATAGCTGCTTGCCTGGCACATATCATGCTGTGCAGTTAATACATAGGAGCTCTCTGGGCGTGCATGCTCAGTTGCTTCAGTTCTGTCTGACTCTGCGACGCTGTGGACTATAGCCCTCCAAGCTTTTCTGTCCATGGAATTTCCCAGGCAAGAATACTGGAGTGGATTGCCATGCTCTCCTCCAGGGGTTCTTCCTGACCCAGGGATTGAACCCAAGTCTCTTATGTCTCCTGCGTTGGCGGGTGGGTTCTTTACCACTAGCTCCACCTCACCCTCTGTTTCACTCCTGAAGGCTTTGCTATCTTTCATTGCAGAGATACTGGGTGTGATAAAATGCAAGATGGAACAAGGGGTGGGTGAGGGCGGATAAGGATTTGAAAGTCTAGGGCCAAACCTGGAGATACTGCTCTTCCCGTTAAACTACCTCAGGTCTAAAGTTTTCTCTTAAAATTGTATGCAAATGTCACATTCTATTCCAAAATGCCATTGCTTATCTGTTAATATAAAACTTGTTTACTCCAAAGCTTTGGGGATCATCGTTCTTCTTGGGAGATGTACCTCATTTACGCCCTGGCTTCCAGCACACTTCTGCTGAGAGACTCAGCAGCGGCTGAGGTAGGTTTGGGAATTTGAAGGCCTAGATTCCCAGTTAGAGCCCCTAGCTTCTTTGGGCGTTATATTCGTCATTTATAAAATGCAGTGGGTGGTAATGACTATTTTATCAAACTCTTTTTTGTGCTGGAATTATACAAAATTGTCCTAAAAGTGTTTTCAAACTGTGGGTCTCCACTTAAAAGTAGGCGAGCAAAACCAACTGGATTGGTCAAACATTTAAAAGAAGATCAGGGTAAACACTGTTTGGTGAAATTTTTATTTCAGAATAGATGTTAAAATGTAATTTGTGAAACACACCTAAAATGTTTGCGTACTGCGTCTGGTAATGGAAACATTTTTCAAAAAATATAAACATTTTAAAGCTACTAAGGAGGGCAATGAAACCTCCAAACGTGCCCGCCCTCGGAGGACATCGATCCCGAGACCTCCCCAGTTGAGGGCCCCTACAAAAGTCGAAGGTGCAAAACAAGGCTCGGGCCACGGCCCCGCGGCCCCCTGCGACGCCAGCGTCCTGGCGGTCTCAAGGGCCGCACCTGGGCTCACGTAGCACCTCCCGCCTCTCGCCGGGACCCAGAGGAAGCTGCGCGCCCCCTGACGTCATCACCGGGCGCCGCTGCCTCGGCCTCCTTCCACTTCGCGGGAGAAGTTGTTGGCGCCAATGGGTCCGGAGCCCCGGTAACGGATCCCCCAGCCGGCCGGGCCTGCTTGCTCGCGCGTTCATCCGTGGGCTGCCATGGTGAGCCCTTGGGAAAGGCTTCGCGGCGGGGGGCTGGGGAGAGTTTGCAGGCAGGGCGTGGACCTGGCGCTCCTGGCGTGGAGGGTCTGGGAGGACCGGGATGCGTGGCTCCGGAAGGGAACGAAGGCACGAAAGGGGGTACAGACTGGGCGCACAGCTTTCCTTCCACGGCGGGCTTCAGCTTTCGGCCGCAGCCAGCGCGCAGCGCTCTTGGTGCTGCGCGGCAGCTTCATGTTTTCCCACTGTTGGGGGAAGGGAGGGAGGAAGGGAGTCACGAAGGTGATTTGCGGGGCTCAGGGGTGAAGTTGCTTTTCCTGTTAAGTGTTGCCTCCAACCTCGGTTTGAGTCCTGCCTAAAGTATTGATTTCAACCTTTGGATGTCAGAGAAGAAGAATCGAACAAACTTCCTTCCTACTGAACAAGTTTCAGGCCTTCAACTCTCGTCATTAAAAGCACTGCGAAATGCTCTCATGAATAAGTTTCTCAGCCTTCAGTTTTCGTTCTTTCCTCTTTAGCAGCTCCGCGAAATGCTCATCAGGGAGCCGTTTTGAGATCGAGGGCACGGGGAGGATGATTTTATTTTGTTCAGATGGGTTCATAGAAATTAGGGATAATACGGTTTACAGGAGGGAGGGCAAACCTGGGAGGAGCAGCTGTAGTGCATTTGACAGCTGTCATCGCTTGTCACCTGATGTTAAAAATAATCTTTAAAAAACCCTCAGTGCATAATTCTGCATAAACCATGTAAATAGTGAAATAATTATGCAGCCGTCAAAACAAAACATTCATGCTAGAATGGCAGTAGATACTAGTGTGTGTTTGAAATATTTTAATGTAAAGGACAGTTTATCGTGCTGTTTTAAGCTGGAGTGTACTTAATAATCAGACATTTTTTTCAGTCATTTTATCTTCAGTCAGTGTATTTTTCACAGTGTCAACATTCTGGGCTGTGTCTGTAATTTTATGCCAGATTGGGAAACCTTACAGCCCTTAGTGTTTCTTCTCAGAAAAGGATGAAATAATGATAACAGCGTAATAGCCAGCTTGTAGCAGATATCTTCAGGTGGATATGTGGGCTGTTTGTTTTACATGTCTTTTCTCATTTAAACCTCACAGCAGTCCAGTTTTACAGATGGTCAAGGAGGTCTTTAGAGTTTAAAACACTTTGTGATGTAACTAATAAATGGTTGAACTAGAATTAGAACCTAGGTTTTTCTGACAACCACATTATGCCACCCCCCTAAAATGACTGTAATTAGTAATTACATTTTGGACTTAAGGCACTGCATGGTAATTGTGGAAAGTTCTTGAGATTTGGAGTCTTGAAGGTAAGAGTGAGGCAATGTTTTGGTATTGCTCTGCCATTTAATGATTAAGTGGTTTTTGAACAAGTAAATAGCTTAACTTTAACCTCTTAAATTATGTTTCCTTAACTTAGAAAGGGAGAAATATAGCTGCCTTGAGTGATTGTCTTGAAGGTTAAACAAAATAATAAATGTAAAGCTTCTATTCTGGTCCCTGACATGTGGTAGGAAACATACACCTACATAACTAATGATCTATATTTCTCAGGAAGGATTGTGTGGAATGTTAAAAGAGTTTAAGGGGCATCAGAGATGCCTTTGTTGTCAGTTATGGAGAACGATAGCTTATGTAGTCAACTTTTGATCATTCAGGTACTTTACATAGTTAGTTCTTCTTAGTACTCCTGTTCAAGGTGCATATGAAAAATAAAGCACTTCTCAAAAAAAGTCAAAAGGATCTGTTTTGCTGTTTGTAAAGGGAAAAGATTCTGTAAAGAACATAACAAGTTTGGATTTTATTGATGTTTAGTTCTCTCTTTAGTACAAAACTGAGCAGATCCTAGACCAAAATTCTGTTCAACCTATGTTTATTAGACACCTGCACACAAGTTATATTGTACAGTAGTAACTTTTGTTTGGATCACAGCTCTCCCTTTGATAATGTGAATGGTATGCAAGTTTGCTGCCCACAGAAGTATGTAAGGACATATACACACCATTTAAGGGGATTGACTTATCTTCTGAGGCCCTTCGATAGATGCAAGGTTAGCAACTCTTGCCCTGGGAGCTGCGTCTTTTTCTCAAATCTTTTCCGATTAAAAGTTATCAAAGGAGTAAAATATTATGTATTTACAAAATGGAATACTGTGCAACCTCAAAAAGAGAAAACTTTGTGCCCTGATATGTAACAGTTGCCAAAATAATTAAGAGAAAAAAGATACAAGACAGTATGTAAAATATGCTGCCAGTTTATTGTAGGAAAGGAGAGAAAAGAATATATACATATTTGCTTGAAGATGGGAAGGATACACAAGGCACTGATAACATCTGTTGCCTCCAAAGATGGGATATGTGTGTCTGAGAGGCAGGGTAGGAGGGATACATTTTACCTTTTGAATTTTTGAACCATGTGAATATAATGTCTATTAAAGGAATTGAAATGAAAATAGAATAAAAAGTAGCCATGTAAATGACTTATATTGCTATGAGGATTTAATTATTTGCTCAGAACATTAATACAACTTGAGAGATGCCATTTTAAAAATGTCAACATATTTAATTCATTGATTGTCATAGTTATTTATTGAAAATACGCAGAAGTTTGAATTAAACAGGCGTGAGACTTGAGGGATGAGAGAGGGGTCTGAACACATCTAAGCTGCTTCATTGCCACATTCTAGGGGAGACCTTTCAAATTGAAGTTTACCGCATGAATGCTTCCCTGGAGCAATGTTGTCACCCTTTTGTATTAATAATGTAACTTTGCATTTGTACTGGTACTTGACCCAGAAGACTTATTTCCTTTCCAGGCTCATCTATCTGTTCTTTGAGTGTGTTAAGCTGGTTCTGTCTCAGCTTTTGTTCTTGTTATTTCCTCTCCTTGGGATATTCTTCCTCCTCTTGGAATATTCTGCCTTTTTCTCACTCATTCAAGTGTCAGTCATCACTTCCTCAGAGCTTTCCGTGTCATATCTAAGAAACCCATTACCTAATCCAGGGTCATGCAGATTTATGCTTCTATTGTCTTCTAGCAGTTTTATAGTTTTAGCTCTTAACAGTTAGGACGTTGATCCATTTTGAGTTAAGTTTTGTATATGGTGTGAAGTAGGGGGGAGTCCGAGTTGTTTTTTTTTTCTTGCATGCGGGTCTCCAGTTTTTTCTGCACCATTTGCAAAGTGTTCTTTTCCCATTGAATTGTTTTGGCTTCCTTGTCAAAAATCAGTTTACCATAAATGTGAAGGTTTCTTTCTGGACACTGAATTCTATTCCATCGATCAATGTGTCTTCCCTAAAGCCAGTCATGCACTGGTTTTATTACTGTAGCTTTGTGGTACATTTTTAAATTGGGAGGTGTAAGTCCTTCAACTTAGACCTTTTTCAGGATTGTTTTGTCTGTTTTGGATCCCTTGAATTTCTAAAATATGAATTTTAGAATCAGCAAAGAAGCCAGCTAGGATTTTGTTAGGGATTGTATTGAATCTGTAAATCAATTTGCAAAGTATTGCCATCCTAACAACATGATGTCTTCTGATCCATGATTATGGGCTATTTGTCCATTTTTTGTGCCTTCTTTAATTTCTTTAAACAATATTTTATAGTTTTCAGAGTATGGATTTAACATTTCTGTTAAGTTTATTTGTAAGTATGTTGTTCTTATTGATGATGCTGTAGATGGAGTTGTTAATTTCATTTCTGGTTTGTTCTTGTGAAAAGTATAGAAATACAGTTGGTTTTATATATTGACCTTGTATCATGCAACCTTGTAGAACTCATTTAATAGTTCTAACAGTCTTTTATTTTGGTAAATTCTTTAGAGTTTTCTTTACTTAAAATCATTTCAGCTGCAAATAAAAATAATTTTGCTTCTTCCTGCCCAATCTGGTGTGCCTTTTATAATTTATTTTTTGCCCAGTGGGTTTTTTAAAAAAAAAAACCAGAGTGTTGAATAAGAGTGGTGAGAATGAATCTCTCTCCTGAATTTAGGGGATTACATTCCCAACAGATTACCTGTCGTTTTTAAAGTATAAGGTTTTAATTAATTTAAAATGATTTAATTTGTTTCTTCTGTGCTGCTGTTAATACACAGTTTTAGTTAGATATGTCATTTTGTGTTTAACTGGTTTTCAGGATTAAAGATTTTTTGCATTTGGCTAGATTTTATGAAATGTGTTGGTGATAATCAATTTCTGCTTGTGGATTTGGTGACTGAATTAAACATATTAATAAAAAATATTTGTATTTCTTTACTTTGAAAATAGAGAAGTAAAGCCAACCCCATAGAGCACTGTAGTGCTTATTTTGCATAAAATCCTGTACTCTTCAAAGTGAGTGAACACAGCGACATGATGTGGTTTCTCTTTGCATTTTTGGTAGGCAGATATAACTTGTTTGTAGGTTGAGCCCATGTGCAGTGGAAAAGTTACTAGCTGTTTGGTTATACTTCAAAGTAAATATGTATCAGCTTTTGTACTTTGATCTTTTAAAGTTAAAAGGCCATTATGATAGCTTCCTTTGTGCAGGTTTAGGAGTATTTATTGCAATTTTTTTTTTCATCTCTAACTCTACTAATAAAAAATTAGTCTGTTTGGAAACTTTAAAAAATTAATTTTTTTTTTGAGTACTGGTGAGGTCTGGTATTTTGTCTTGACTTATGTATATGTATATTAAAATTGCATTTGGGCTGCCTGATAGGCGATGCTTTTCTTTAATAGTGTTGTAGAATTGTTGGTTACACCTTAGGGTAGGAGACTGCAACCGATCTTTCCCTTTTGCTTACATTTATGTGACTCAGCTGGTAAAGAATCTGCCTGCAGTGTGGGAGACCTGGCTTCCATCCCTGAATTGAGAATATCCCCTGGAGAAGGGAAAGGCTACCCACTCCAGTATTCTGGCCTGGAGAATGCCATGGACTGTACAGTCCATGGGATCACAAAGGGTTGGACATGACTGAATGACTTTCACTTCACTTCATGAATG